TAAATGTATCTTCACAGTCATACATATAAAATTGTTTATTTTTATTTGTAAGTATGTGAAAAATTTGTTAAAATGTAGGGTTAGGATAACTGAAAATGCATGTTTTAGAAACGCTTTTTCAAAATAATTATTTTATTTAAGCAAAATTTAAATAGTAGCAATGAATATACATCAAGGATTTTATTTGTGTGCTTAGTTTTATTCTACATTTCTTGTAATAAAAAATTGTTTATTGTGTCAGTAAAAGTAGAAGTAAAAAGTTGTAAGCAAGCACTAAATATTTAACGAAAATATTTTATTGTCTCATAGAAATTTCGATTGGTAAGAAAAAAAATGAATTGATAATATATTTCTATTTCTAGAAAAATTTATATACAAATATTAATAATAATAATAATAATAATAATAATAATAACCAGATAAACGGATACTTATCCAGCACTATACGCCATGCACCACGCCACAAGATGACCTAATGGGGATAATGGGAATAGACAACCATAGAATCGGGAGAGGTAACTCAATAATGAGGACATTTACTCCGATCTAGGTACAAGTGTACCAAATACGAGTTTATCTGGAGAATGTATTTAACGGGTATTTGAGTGAAAGTACTCGGTAAACAGCAATAGCTTAAAAAAATATTTCAAAGTTGACGAAATAAGTAAAATTTATTATCCGTAGTCATTGTGTAATAAAATCTGAATATATTTCGGTACAATTGATGAGTTCTATTAGGCAGATCATATGCCATTTTTAATAAGGCATATTTTCGAAGCGATTATTAGCGTTATTTGTAATAATGCAAGTAAATAACTAAAGACAGGATTAGAAAAAGTGTCAATAGGCAACTCTGTTGAAACGGCTCCAGCAAATTTGGATCTAGTAGTTACTAAAGAGTGTCTTAAAAGTATTGCAGGATTTGAATTGTGCACCATTTTCATTTCGAAGAGTTGGCAGTATTGTACATTGTCACATATTGTAGTAAATACGTTGCGGTTAGTCAACATGGAGCGCTATACGACGAATGAGCGAGTAAAGATTGTGAAAAGTTATTACAAAAAAGAAAGGACCAATCACCCCACCACCGTAAAATCCACACCACACTGTCACTCTTTGGGTATACAGTGGTCGTTCTTGATTGACCTGAGGACTGTCTTTGCCCCAAATTCGACAATTTTGCTTGTTCATATACCCACTAAAATTAAATTATTTTCCAACGACTACTTGATCCTTCCACCGTTAATGTGATTTTTAGGTGGTATTTGTTTTGAGACTCTAGGACGATATTACTTACAACTTTTAAACGGGAAGTAATACAGAAAAAAATTTCTAATAAAAGTTTATTAGAAAAAAGAGAGTTTTTAACAGGAAAAAAATTTGGGTATGTTTCTGGAAAAAATATAATTGATGACGTCATTAGTCGTTTTTGTCAAATCCCAAAGATAATACTTTCGATTGAAAATAGAGCTTACCTCACCCCATTCAACACCGAGTGACCTAAATTTTATAAAATTTTTTGAATCCTCGCAGTAGGCCTATACTATCGAGTTTGAGACACCCTGTACGTAAAGTTTTACTCGTTTT